TAAATTAAATCACTTTAAAAATGCATTCACATTCTGCCCCAATAACTAACGGATGCTGGGATTCTTCGATATTTATAGACGGATTCTCTACAAATATTGATTAAAAGACAAATTTATTAAAAATTAGATTTTCGAAATATTTTTTTTTTTACATTTTCTCTTTTTTTATTAAAGTATTCGTACTCAAAAGATTAGGAAAGTAAATTTTGGTCTCATCTTTAGAAAAATTAAATCTTTATTATAAAGAACAACACAAAATTAGAATGTTGTTTAAGGAGTGTATTTATATAAATCAAAGTAACATTTCCACATAACACCATACACACTAATAATGCTTATAATTTTTTTTTACTAATTTATCACTGTTCTGTTCTTTAAGACGAATATAGATTCTTCACAAAAAAATTACAGTAAAAGGAGACTGGGAATACCAAAACCTTACAATCTTAGCTCTCCCTCCTACCCCAATCATGAGAGCAATGAGTCGAGCTATTCATTTTTTATAATTATAAACTAGTTCTGTATTTATCTATAGATTTTAAATTTCAGCATCAAATCGTTTAGTGTTCGGTTTTTATGATCATGTAAATATTAAACCACCTTCATTTTGATGAGGCTAAAAATGGAACGCTGAATAATATAATCATAAAGTTTAAAATCTATAGATGAATATATAACTATTTTATAATTAATTATTTAAATTGAATAACTGAACTTAGAATACAAAAAGGTTCTTTATATACCTTATGGCTCATATTAAATTCAATCATTTCGTAATATATATATATATATATATATATATATATATATATATATATATATATATATATATATATATATATATATATATATATATATATATATATATATATATATATATATAATATATGTATATATATACTATATATATATATATATATATATATATATATATATATATATATATATATATATATATATATATATATATATATATATATATATATATATATATATATATATATATATGAATATATATATATATATATATATCATTTTTAATTTTATAAAACTATATTCGGTCTCACTTGTATAGTAACAAACTAGTCAATGGAGTGACACCTTAATAAAATAAACAAATAAAACAAAAAACGAACAAATAAAAAGAATAAATAAAATTAAATATTAATAAATCGGTTTCAAGAAAAATAGTATCATTGAAAATGCAAGAAAATAAAAGTAAAAACGAAATGAATGGATTATCGGATTCGAGAATAAATGAATAACACATGAGATCAGAAAAATGAAAAAAAGAATATAGTAAAACAACAACAAAAAAAAATCACTCGATAAATAGTAACAAATATAACAAGCAACTACAACACAAATAACAACAAACATTACCCAAACAATTAGCAGGACAAAAATGGGATTTGTGAGCTTTAATGGGCAAGTTATATAGAGGAAAAAAAATTGCAAATCTTTATCTTCAGGTTTTAAGTGTTTTAATAGTCCATAACCTTTGAAAATACAAATATAACTAGAGATTCTGCCATAACAATGAAAAAAAATAAGGAAATCTAAATATTTTACAGTAATTTGACCAAGAAATTGCATCTATACCCAAGCTAGATGGTTTTTCAATAAAAATCTCAGAACAATCAACAATTATAGAGCATTTAGGTAAAATTTTATAATCGCGGCTGGTAAATTTTAATTTCATTTCTAAATGTATCTATTATAAATAATTCATTTTAACTCAAACAAAAAAAGTTTTATCTATGTCATAAATAAATAAAAATCACCACACAAATAGACACTATAAATGATAAGCAGAATCTTCATTTTATTTATTATCACAAAAATATCTGTTATCATACTAGAGATTTTAATTATATTGTTTTTAAATCCTGTAGCAAAATTAATCTTTAGCTGGACTTTTATCTTTCCAGTAGTGCATTATATTTTCATTTCTCTGCACGTAAGAAAGCAACATTTCCAAGGCCTTTGAATATGCTAAGCCTTCAAAAAACCGAAAATCACAAAATATCTAAGTAATTTAGCAAAAACAATTATTATCATACAATTATCATCAAGTGTCTAGTCTATTAAACTTGATTTATTTATTTGTCTTTAATTCTTACCGTTTTAAGCAAATGTTCTAATCAAGTTTATCTCAATCTAATGACAATATAAAAATAATTCACTTAAGTTTTTCTTTTTTTTTGTAGAAGATTTTTATTTTGCATAACGATACTTTCATGTATAAGCAAAGCAAAATAGGTTTTCAAAACTCGAAATAAATAAATCTTTTACGACATGATTAAGGTTGCTTTTTGCCAAATCATCAGGAAAACAGTAAAATTTGGCACTGTCTATTGAATTCTTTTAAATGAAATCATAATTACAACCAACAGAGCAACAATACGTAGCAGTATGGCATTATACACTACAGTTGTTTTGCAGTTTAAATTCATATTTATTATTTTTTATCGATCAAAAAACCAATTTATAAAACATCGAATATTTTCTAATAATAATATTGAATAATAAGTGCTAAATCTAATTAACAGAACATTAAAAATAAGCACAAACTCTTTAGCTTTCCTTCACTAAATCGAACTAACTTTGTTGTTTGTTTGCCCTGATTACCCAAGATGCACTTCGCAACCGCGAAAAGGTCTATTAAAAAACACATCCTGAGGCATACTATCTTCTGCTTACCAATATTCTAAGGTGCGGTGATATTCTATTACAATACATTTCAAACTTTAATTATTTGGGGATAATGCTAGATTATCTCTAAGAAATGATGTTAAAACAATATTTTAGGTATGGTAGGTTTTACAAAAGCTATCATTTAAATAATATTAGGAGGAGAAAAGATGTGGAACTAAAGTGAAACTTTGTTGTTTTTCTGGCAAAGTTTAACCTATGCTTACATTATGGTCTATATTTAAATGTTATAAATTTTTTAGCCACAAATTTTAGTTTTTTTTGAAAATATAATAGTGTGTGATTCATTTAAAGCAAAAATTATGACTGGGTAACTTTTTTTTGTTATAATTTCATGCTTTTAAAAATTGATAAGTTTTCTTCTTAATTGAAGGTTTAAAAATACTGACAGAAATAACATTTACGCCCTAATGCTCTCATTTATTTTCTGAAAAACCTTTTGCAATGTCTGAAAACCTTTTTGCAATGTTTTTTCAAATTATTTTAATTATCTGAAATTTTTCTCTTCTTAGGCAGAGCTTTTTGTTGATATTTTTTTACAGTTGGGTGGTTTTTTAAGAAGTGCTCATCCATTATACTTTTAAGTTTACGTGTTCCTTTCATGTGCCAGTAGGTACTTTTCATGCTGTTGAATTCAGCATGAATACTCTCTGCACCCTGTTCTCCATGAGTGCCAAGTCCTACTCCCCATTTCCTAATGAAAAACGATGCATGATATTCAAGCATATGAAGCTTAGGTGTAATTGAATTATTTGGTCAATTGTCATGGAAGTACTTCATAAAATCTTCAATTTGATTTTCTGTAAACAATATATATATATATATATATATATATATATATATATATATATATATATATATATATATATATATATATATATATATATATAATAATAATAATAATAATAATAATAACAATAATATAATACATCTCATACCAAGATTTTGAATGTTTTCTTCGTTGCAGGAGTTAATGAGCTTGTGGCAAACTCCAAATTTTTTAAATAGGACTTTAAAGTTCTGACAAAAATCAATAGTTTCTTTGTGTATGTCTGTATCAGTGAACCCAAGTTTGACTACAAGTTTTGGTATTGAGTTGCATAGTTTGAGAATACTTTTCATCTAATAATATTTTTTAAATAAAATAAGTTATATATGTTAAATTACACTTTCAATTTACACTTTTTTCATATATATATGTATATATATATATATATATATATATATATATATATATATATATATATATATATATATATATATATATATATATATATATATATCATATATCCATATAAACAAATACACACTGACCATACCTATATACATATACTTTTTTCTAAATTTGAAATATACCAGTATACTATTTTAAATTACTATATGTATTCACTATATGTATACTATACTATATGATTAGTTTACCTTTAACATCTTGTTAACATGATTACCAACAAAACTTTTGCCATGGTAAGCTTGTCTTTGCACTCCTAACAAATTAAGTACCTCGTCGAGTTTATTTCCTAGTGGACCAAATGACATCTTTACATGGTCGGTGTCTTTCAGTATTTTCAATTCTGAGATCTATGAATATAAATTTGGTGATTGATTCTCATAGCAAAATGTATTATTAATGATATATCTTTTTAGGGAACAATAAAATTAAAAATCTTAACCTTTTTTTTTTTTCACTTTAAAGTGAATTATGTGTGGTTAAAATAATAACTTCATATATTCTTCTTTTTCAGGGTTAGATAATATGTGAGTTTCAAGTGCTTCTGTTATGATTCGTGTTTTATCTTCAAGATCCTGAATACTTATCTGAAGTTGTTTTATTTGTTGTTGCTTCTCAATATATTTGTTAAACTCTTCACAGTCAAGTGTTTGGTTGTTTACTGCCATTTGACCTGCAATTTTGACGTCAATTGTATGACAAGACTCCTCTAACATGTTGAAAAATTTTAAGTACGCCCCAAGTGAGATATGTAATGCTGGAATTCCGATCTTAAAGTGCAATAAAAAATATTTAATTATTTTTAACAATCAAATTAACAATGGCTGTAATTAAATTAAAAGTTATGCATGTTAGTCTGAAAGCAAAGTACCTGATCAAGTGGCACATTAAATAACCTTTGATCAATAACATTATCACATAACTTGGCAAACTTGGGATCTGAACCATGATTTTAAAATTTTTCTAATTGTGAATCTGGTGTCTCAAGTGATCGCATTTCAATGTTGTTCTTAATATGAGTTGACATTCCTTGTCTTTTGATGTTGCATAACAGGCATGCATGTCTACCTGAAGTTATCAAACAATTAAATACTTAGAAAACAAAATCAATCATATAGCAGGAATATGCTCTGTGCGAGTTTTTAAATGGATATATAGATTAAATATTTACTTACCAGTTGCACCAGTTATTCCATAGATTGCACACAAGAATTTGTAATTACCGAATAAAAACACACAAATCTGTTTTTCTCTACATTTGAAAGTAATTATATAGGTTAAAACTAATCCTAAACAACATAAATAATTTTGTTGTAATATTTTGATTTAATTGGTTTTAGCATTCTTACCTCCAAATGGTGTTTTGCAACAAATCAATTTCTGATTTAAATTTTTATAAATAAAATTTATTTTTATCTGTCTAAACTATCTAGCACATTTATTATATGTCCTTGCAAATTGTTGATATAAGCGCATGGCAATTCTTTTATTTCAAAAGAACCTTTGGACTCCTTTTTTTCAACCATAAATGGAGCTTTTTCAATAATAAGATCATCGCATGACTACTTCTTAGCCACACATCTTTGTTGTGCGTTTGAAGCACAAATGACGTTCTTGGTTTTCAACTACCTAAAACAGTAGTGCATTTTATTTTTTTGAAAAGGTTGTGAGTGTTTTAATTTATTTTTTTCTGGGTTTTTATATAATAATTTTATTTGTGTGAAAATACCTGGATAGTATTTTCATGTTGGCATAAGTATTGCTCATGTTAGCTTTTAAACTTATAATTTCTTCAGCAGATATTTTGGTTTTTGAAATATTTGAATTACTTAAAATAATTTCTTGTTCATTTTCATTAAATGATTTTAAAAGAGTAGAGGTTTGCTTGATTTTAGACCTCGTGCTTTCACCACACGTTGTGTTTATGTAATCGTTTAACTGTGATTGTCGTTTACAAACTGTCTGTAAAGTTGCATCTTTACTTTCTTTATATGCTTTTGGTATTGATATGAAGCACAAAGGCTAAAATATCATGTAATTTATAAACGTTTTATATATTATTATATTATATTAAATATAAAATTTTATAAATAATATATATATATATATAACATTAGTATATAATAGTATAATAACATTAACATTTCTCTTTTTTAACTAAAATAATCTTACCCTTGGTCCATCAGTCTGAAATTCTATTACATTGGACGTTGTTTGCAACATTTTTTGTTTAATAATATGAAGTGCAACAGCATCAATATCCCTTGTAATCAATATATATATATATATATATATATATATATATATATATATATATATATATATATATATATATATATATATATATATATCATATATCCATATAAACAAATACATACTGACCATACCTATATACATATACTTTTTTCTAATTTGAAATATACCAGTATACTATTTTATAATAACACTTGTTGAATTTAATGCAAATATATCTAATAGACTTATATGTGATGATGATGTTGTCAAGGTTGAAGAAATTGGTATTGGAATCTTACAAATATTTTGATGATTTATGCGTTCTGACAGTTGTGACACTTTAAATAATCTACCACACCTTTGCTTACATTCTTCTTGAAAATTATTTATTATTTCAATTACACTGCTAGAAGAAGTTAATCCATCAATTGAAATTGATAATGCATTTAGGGCATTTTGTTTCAGATAATAGTTTATTATTAAGTGGCAATATACATGGTGCACAAAACGAATGCAGACAATTTTTTAAAATAATAGATTTATACATAATATGATTGCAAATATAACAGACACAAAGATGTAAAAGTTGGTTAAGATTTTGATTAATGTCTTGTAGTTTTAGATTCAAAGTTGGTAGAAGTGGAAATTTAGCTTGTATGTTATTTATTTCTTGTCGAGTCCAAATTTCATCATTGGCAATACTTAAGGGCCTTCCCTTTACAGTTTTTTTGGTTTCCTTCCTGTATTTAATTTGAAGCAAACACATTCACATTCCTTGCAATTGCTAATCCAGGTTCTTAATTTAAGATTAGTGTTTGAACCTTTTTCAATGTTTCTCATTGCTAAATAGCATCTGTAACACATTTTCTGTGGGTGCATCTCTGGGTCGTCCTTGTCAATTCGTATAAAAAAATGCAATTCTATTCTAAATACATGGTTTGTTAAAAGAACACTTCGATTTCCAAACTTTTCTCCACAAATTTGACATAATTTTAATAGTTTTGTTATATGAGACTCAGTCATTTTTATATTTTTTGACAGCTAAATAATAGGATTTGACGTAGAGTGTTTTATAACTTAAAAAAGTTACCAAAGTCTAATTTTTTTTTTTAAATAAAGATTAGTTCTTCTAGTTTTTAAATATATTAAGTTTTAAAGCATAAAAGTTTAAATAAACGCTTAAATATCCAGTTTTAGTAGTATATATAACCATAAAAAAAGTTTGAGTTTCCCGCGTATTTTATGACACTAAAATTTAAAATTTTTAATTTTTTTATCAAAAAAAGCAACTATTATAGGTGCTCGTAAATTTAGAAGCAATTGCTCGCCGTTTTTTGAGTTGAAGCTTTTTTATTCACGCGTTTTTCTCATATGTGAGCAATCGCTAAACATTTGAGCACAAGCTCATGAGTAAAAGCTTTCGCGAAAAAAAGAGCAATTGCTCAAAATTTTTATTCACGTAAAGTTGAGCAATTACTTCAAAAACGCTGAGTAAAAGCAATCGCTCTTTTTTATTCACATGGCCCATTGTTCGAAACTTTTGAAGCTCTTCTGTTTAACGGCTATAAAATACTTTTTAAAGAGTGAAAAAGTTAAAAAAAAATTAATAGATCAGGCAAAAATTTTATTTTGTTTTTCAAAACTAAAAAAGATGAAAAATTAATATTTAAAAAAAGAAGAAACGAGAACGAATTAAATGAAAGAATTTAAAATAAAATTCAAAAGTAACGTAAGTAAATTAAAAAAAAAAAGTTAAATAAAAAAATTGGTAAAAAATGAATATGCTGCACACCGGATCTTAGTCAGAAGGAGCAGTTGTCATTGGTCATACGATTTGTAAAAATTAATATGAATGCAACTTCTCTTAAAAGTGAAAATGAAGATGTAAGCATCGAAGAACATTTCCTTCGAATCTTAGATGTTAAATCAACAACGGGAAAAAATCTAACTGATGTTCTTTTACAAGAGTTAGATGAAATTGGGTTGCAAATCAGGGACTGAAGGGGACAATGGTTCTAATATAAAAAGTATCCACTCTTGAGTACAAGTACGGATCTTAGAAATAAATCCAAAAGCATTTTACATGCCCTGGGCTAGCCATAGCCTCAACTTCCTAATTTGGGACGCAGCAAAATGATTATCTAAAACTATGACGTTTTTTGGTGTTGTGCAAAGAATTTATGCACTTTTTTTTCGTCAAAAATGCAATGGCAAATTTTCATTCAACACGTACTAAATCTGGCTGTAAAAAGGTCCTGTGACACTTGTTGGGAAAGTTAACTGAAAAGCGTAAAAGCGCTCGTCATCAAATTAAGGAAGTTATACTTCATTAGTTGAACTAGTTGAGTTGAGGATTCAAAAACTAAAGCTAATAGTGAAACACCATCAGTTATAAATAAAGTAAGCTATGAAAAAAAAGCCTACAGACTCAAAAAAAAACCTTGGAGTTGTGTCGCAGTTACTTCAAAGGCTAGTTCAGTTTTTTTCAGAAATTTATATTTAGGTTTTGTGGCGGCGACATTGTTAGCAAAAGAACTTAGTGAAACTCTTGGTGAAGAGCCAAATTTCAAAGAATTTCAAATTTCAGGCAGAGAAAGAAAAAAAAGAATGTTTGAGTACGAGTGAGATCCTATGACAGGATCCGTCAAGCAAATGTTTACGATACAATGTTTGGATTTTTGTATCATGTAAAAAAAACTAAAAGTAGTAAAAGAAGATAAATTGTTTCAAAGGTGTAAAGACCTAGAATCGTTCCTAAGTTTGGAAGAAGAAAAGAATGTTTGTGGAAATGATCTTTTTTCTGAACTTAAAGTTCTTCAAGAACTTCTACCGGCTGAGGTGGAAACAGCTGCAAGGATTTTAAGATTTATTCACCAGATTCAAAACCCATTTCCGAATGCATTTATAACGTATCGAATTTTACTGGCTATACCTGTAACTGTGGCAAGCGCAGAAGGAGTTTTTCACGCTTGAAACTTATCAAGAGATAATTAAGTTCGCCCATGGGTCAAGAAATGCTATCAATTGTGACATCTAAGTTTTCATCCTTTTGGGAATTTTAAAAATTATTTAACCCTGGACAATTGTTTTTAAAGTATTAATAACACTGTATTATTTTGTTGTAAATATTTACTTGTATTCTAATATAAAATTAATGTCTATTATTTTACAGTGTGAACACTGTAATTAATGTCTATTATTTACATTGTAAATAATGTCTATTATTTACACTATTAATGTCTATTATATATACTGTAATTAATGTCTATTATTTTACAGTGTGAACTTATTATATAACATCTATCGACCTATGAGCACCCTTCATATCGATTGCTGAAAACATAATATATGCAAATAAGATTACTATTTTGTAAAAATATGTAATATTATTTATAACTGATTATTCAATAATAACCAAAAAAGGAAAAATTTATTTGTTATTCTAATTCATTTATTTCTTGTCAGACAAAAATTATTATTTATTTTACGTTATTTGGCCTTTAATAACTTTAAGAATAAACTTTATTGTTATTAATCTAGTTAATTTTATAAAGCAATTAGTTCTTTTTATAAACCTACACGAAGATAACAACTCAAAATTATACCAATCCGAAATTTATGTTTTGCATTTACACAACCTCTTTTCAGACAGTAAGAGAAAAAGTTTTTCTCCGTCAAAGCGCTTAAAATGATCACTTTCAAGAAGGCCTCGCAAAAATGTTTTGCTCCAGGCCTCGCATTTTCTAAGGACGGCTCTGTATAAAGCGGCCGAACTTATGAAATGGTATTGAAAGTTCGGTCAAAATAGATGCTTTCAATTTAAATTAAATATTAAGAGTTAGTTATTATTTTTCATTTTTTTATTTTTACAATATCAATTTTCTGTATGTTTAAGGAAGAAAAGTTCAAATTTTTTTATTTATGCTTGATAAATAAATGTTCAAAGCCTAAGTTATTGAACTTAAGCGATTTTACGGTATTGAAAAAAATATTTTTTAAAAATGAATGCCAATTTTCTGAAAATTAGTCGAAAAGTTATATAGAAACACCAGAGTTAAACTCATACTTATCTTTTACTTCATTTATAAAAAACTTCTACAAATGGTCATTTGTGTGTTAGGTCTATATTTAGTTAGAGATTTTTAATAAATTAACTTTAAAATAATGTATACATTATTTTAGGTTTTAAGACTTTTTGAAAATCAAAAATGTTAACTTTTACAAGAAAAAATAAAATATCTCAAGATATATTTATTAACTTTCAAAATATATTTAGCTAAAAAGAAAGTTAATAATGCAAGCACCAATTTCAAAAAAAAAAAAAAAAAAAATAAACCACTACGTTACCTCTTCTATACACAGTAAAACTGTGTATAGAAGAGGTAACGTAGTGGTTTATCAAGCATCTTTTTGTAGATTTATTTATTATGATTTAAATAATACGAAGAATGTGTAAAAATATTCTTCCATTATTTTGCTTTTCCAGTCAAACTTATTCATATTCTCATAATTTATTCCTTTAGCAAACGATTCATCCCAGTTATCGTTTAACGTTTTAAATGTATTGTCTGTAGGTCCGGTTGTAACTTTACCTGTCGCTTTTTATATTTCTTTAGCTCGGAATTCTACAACATGGTGTCTACATGCTAACCATATTAGTGGTTTGCCACTCCAATTCTTAATAATTGACACTGCTCCATTCATCCATTAAATTTTCGCGTCACGGTAAGGAAGGAAGCGTGAACTTTCTCGTCAAATGCACTTCCGCGGTGCTCTGTAACAAGACCGTAGGACTTCTTGGGGCAACCAAAATAACAAATTAAAAAAAAAAAATTCATCCAGTATTAATTGC